ATTTATTTATTTATTTATTTGCATCATTATCATTATTATTATTTGTTATTTGTTATTATCATTATTATTATTGTTATTATTATCATTATCATTATCATTATTGTTATTATTATTATTATCATTATCATTATCATCATTATTATTATTATTATCATCACTAATATTATCATCATCATCATCATCACTATCATCATCATTAGAATTATTATTATTATCATCATCATCATCATTATCATCATTATTATTAATATCATCTTCATTATCATCATTAATATCATCACCAATATTAATATCACCATCATTAATACCATCATTCTTATTATTATTATATTATTATTCTTATTATTATGATTTTCAAGCAATCAATCAATCATTCAATCAAGCAATCAAGCAAGCAAGCAAGCATCTCTCCCCACCATACGCGCGTGACGAGAGCGATAACCTGGTTTCCTTCTTTTCTCTTAGTCTTCTTTCTCTGCATAGGACCTAGCGAAGAGTCACACCCTCACAACGCACCAGTCACAACACAACTTTTGGAGCTCTTCCCTGACTAAAGTTGGCGAAGAGGAGGGGGTGGGTGAGCTGAACGAAGAGGTTTCACGAAGCGAGCTCGGGCTCAAAGCTCAAGGCTCACATGCATGCACTTTGAGAGGGAGGTAGATATGGATATGAGCGTGTATTGGATGTGGGTCTATTACATTAAGTCTCAAAATCGCATCTCCAGTTATGGGTTTCCTTCCATCCGTCTATCCTTCTATCTGTAACAGGTGCTGGATTAACTTTGGCGTCAATATCAAAATCAGATGCAAATCTCCGTCTTCATATCCTCTCCTTCTGCTTCTTGATTGGCTTCACATGTCGCCGATAACTATCCTGTCGTATCCATCCATCCCCCCAGTCGATCGAGATGTCGCAAATCGCTCGGGCTGATGATATGATGACGACGACGATGGTAGTGTGGCTGCGCGGTGCCCGTGGTCAAGACCAGCTTGAACCGGCGCGGCAGCCGCGTGGTGGGAATCCATGATTCATTCCCAATGCCATGCCATGTCAGGACTGGGGAACATGTATGCATGCGTGTGTGTGTGTGTGTGTGTGTGTGTGTGTGTGTGTGTGTAAGGATTCTTCGATACCACTCGCTGTGCGATGCTGTGCCGCGGGCAGTTCAATTCCGCGCAAACGGGTAAATCGAAGTGATCAGCGTGTTGATCTGAGCTGGGCTGGGCTGAGCAGATGTGGCTGAGCTGGGCTCAATTGGGTGACGCGTGTCTCTCGTAGGGGTGCGGTATGGGGCATCATGATGCGCCGCTGCAGTCGTTTCGTATGGATATTGCGCGAGTGTTGAATTGCGCGACGAGTCGCGAGAGGGTGTGCATTGGATGGACGGATAGTTAGATGGATGGCGTCGCGAACGAGGCCGCACGGTGGGGGTGATATATCGCATTCTCGGTCTGTCGGTCGGTCGGCCGGTCGGCCGGTCGGATATGCATGTCAGCGCCGCAGCTGGATCATGATCCGTACGCGGGAGAGTGGACCCGCTCGATGGCGGCCGAGGAGATGTGCCCGCTGGTAGGGGAGGGATCGGGTCGTATCGTGTGGTCTCGGGTGATATCCAAGGGATTGGTAGGTTGATTGAATCGCTCGCGTCGAGTCGGGTTGGCTCAATCGCGAATCGAGGGAGAGAGAGAGAGCGCGCGCAGCTTCTCGCTCTCTACTTCGGCAGCGGTGGGAGAGGACGGGAAGGTGGTGGCCCGGGGCACGGAGGGAGTTGAGAGGGACGGTGGGCAGGCATGGTGAGGGTGGTGGTGGTGGTGGTGGTGGTAGAGGTTATGGTGGTTGAGGTTGAAGTTGAGCTTGAGCTTGAGGTTGTTGATGGATCGATCGAGAGGGAGGCAGATTATATCAGTCGGTCAGAAGGATAGATGACAAGTGAGATGGATGATTAAAGATGTGATAGTGTGAAATGCTGATCGATGCGCTGCTCTGTTTCTTTCTTCGGGAACTGTCTGATCTATTTCTCTCTTCCCGTCTAGAGAGCGGCCCGGGTCTCTCCTTATATGTATCCCATCCAGAGACCAGAGACCAGAGACCGACCTGCTACCCAGCTCCTGCCCAGCTCCTGCCCACCCACCTACTACTACCACCCAAATCCCATCACCGGGGGAGAGAGAAATGATCCTGCACGCCTTACGGACCCCTGCCTCGCCAGCAGGGGTGCTCTGTTTGTCTCTTCAGCCCTTCATCTTTCTCCCTTCTAGGTATCTATTTTTTATTTTTTTCTTCTCTCTTTCCATTAATTTCATGTAGGCCCGAGTTTTTCGGAGTATATTTCCAGCCTAAACTAAAACGCCATCGAACCCCCGAGCCAAAAAATCCGCATCGTGAAACACCGATAGCGTGGATCCCCTGCCGCGCGTGCGGGACGGTGCGTGCGCTCTGCGGTTGCCCCTGCGTCGTCCGGGCAATTCGCAAAGAAAGTGGCAGAGGTTAAACCGGAAGGGGGCATAAAGGGAGAAAAGTCATGGGATCTATTATTAGCAGTCGGTCCGGGGAGGTGAGATGAGACCCCATTCATGGTCCATGATCCATGATCCAGGAGCCAGGAGCCAGCCCGGCTGGCAGAAAACGTCGGGCTGAAAAAAAAAAGGGGGCATGGGCAGGGGTGGAGGTGGGAGGTAGGGGTAGGGGTAGGGGTAGGGGTAGGGGTAGGGGTAGGGGTAGGGGTAGGGGTGGGATAAGTCAGGGCAGGGACGGGGACCAGGTATGGGTGGACTGTAATGCCCTGCCTGTTCTGTCTGACTTCATCTCGTCTTGTCTTGTCTTGTCTTGCCTGGTTCTGACTTGTTCTACTGTCCAGAGTAGGCAGTAGTCGTACAGTAGTAAGTACTACAATACCTACTACCAGTAGCATCTGCCCTGCCCTGGTTGGGAAAGGAAGGAGGTGTATTTTGGTTCGGAGATCAGTCTGACAGGTTTGAGAAGTAAGATGATACCGGCCGACCACCGGCCCGCCAGCCAGTCCTGGTAATGCTCTACTACGTACATCGTCGTAGTCGTACGTACTACCGGTGCATAGATCGCCATCTACGACTACGACTACGACTACGACGACTACTACCACTACCACTACCACTACCACTACCACTACCACTACCACTACCACTACCACTACCACTACCACTACTCCTCCTACCGGTACTCCTCCTCCTCCTCCTCCTCCTACATATCCACCCACAGCTGCTACTAAATTCATCCTTCATCTGGACTATTGAAATCTAAACACCCGTCCGCTCCTACGGTTCGCATGGCCCCGCAGGACCTACTACTAGATATCATGCTACGATACCTACGACTGGTACTACTTCTATACTTGTCGATTCTCGCCTTCAATACTGTACAGTAAAAAACCGCCGCGCCCACCCGCTCGGTCTTGTTACATCATCCCGCAGACGGGACTATTAATGGGCATCGCTTACTACTACTTATAACGACGACTACGATTAGCACGGTAGTACTGTAGTACAGTCCTGATCCCGACCTAGTCCTAGTCGTAGGTACGGTAGTACCTACTCCTAGGTACTAATAGTATTATCAGTCTCGGCTGTATAGGGTGTTCGTACCGTAGTGTAGTCTTGGCAGAGGGTGGAATCGAGATTCGCGATCGCTGACACCTCCTCTCTCCATCCTGCAGCCGAGTAGGTCCTGCGCCGGAATTCCAACGACCATCAGATAAATATGACTAAGTACGAGTTGATCAGAACAGAATAGAATGCCACTGGACAAGGGATACCCGTCGAGTCGAACGTGTAGATCATATTCCTCCTTCCTTCCTTGATTGCTCACCTTCTGTACAGAGTATCTCGTTCATACTCCCAAGTCCGTAGGGCTTGGACCCGTCCGTGTTGGGACGTACCAAGTACTGTACTACTACTACTTACTACGTACGCTCCCTTTCCTACGCCAACCCGCTCACTCGCTTACAGAGTAGAGTATATCGTGCTTTGACACCAACACCGACATGGACGTTGACGTTGACATTGACATCTGCTCAACCCTCTCCATCGCTCGGGAACCCTCCTTCGCGTAACTACCACCAGCACCGCATAGCATCGCACGATCCACCCTATCAGAACTGATTGTACTCGTACCACGTCCACTGTCCTCGTACCCCATTGCTGCAGATCCAGGGGCTCCGCCTCGCTTTCGCTACGTGAAACGACCATCCATTGGTGTACCGGTAAGGTACCTCCAGCAGTATACAGGATAGTAAACGTCAGCTGAAGTCTGAATACCATGACATCAGGATACATACAGTCTACAAGCCCTGTCTCTGACCGAGAATCTCTGATCAGATCAACCACGCGGTGCATGTCTCTCTCTTTCCGTACGGGACACGCTTTTCGACCGTATCGAAAACCTGTTCGTACGTATCCTCAGACGAGCTTCTTGGAGAGCATGTTTCATATCATATACATATTTCCTACCTCACAACCCAATTCCATTGCATTCATCCACCTCTATCCCACTCAAATCACCGCAATCCCACTAGATGGAAAATGGGAAATCACTTGGATGATTTTTTTTTTGTCTAAAAAAAACCCCCCTTGGAAAGAAGCCTCCTCTGGCAGATTCCATACCTAGAAGCATCTTGCCTGCCCGCCTGCCCGCCTGCGTAGGTACCTGTTTTACAAAGTATTTGCATCTGTAACCCGCCCTTGGATTCGAACAGGAGAGCGGTAAAATTAACAAAATGAACAAAATGAACGAAATTGATAATGGTAATGCTAGTTGCGACATCCATACGTGTATATAGTATCGGCTGTGTATACAGGCCATGTCTGCCGTTTCATACACTTTCGTCCCTCGTTTCGTCTCGTCTCGTTTCAACCGCGTCTCGTCTCACCTCGGCCTGGGTATCTGTCTGTACTGTATTGTAGGAAGGAGGTATCTCATCTCATCTCATCTCGTCAGATCTCATCTCGTCAGATCTCTCATCTCGTCTCGTCAGATCTAATTATAGGGTAGGTTCCTTCCGCTGCTCTGCTCTCTGCTCTGCTCTCTGCTACCGGTACTGCAGACAGACAGGTGGGTTGTAGGCCAAGCGTTGGATTTTTCTCCATCCACCGGTGCATGGGACGTGATAATAACAGTAACAATAAATCATAAATATTTCTTATCATTCTTATTTTTACGATGATCATTCTTTCTATTATCACTGTTTTTATTATTGTTGTTTTTATTATTATTGTTTTTATTATTATTATTATTATTATTATTATTATTGTTGTTTTTATTATTGTTATTATTATTCTTATTCTTATTATTATTTTTATTATTATTTTTATTATTATCATTTTTATTATTATCACCACTACTATTATTACTCTGGCAACGGGACATACAAATCTACGGTACATATACCGGTACATATATACATAACATCTACCGGTACCTACCTATACACACACCCATCTCCAATCCTTCCGCATATCCATTTGCCTTCCTATCTCTCCCATCCCCATCCCCATCTCGAAATCCTTACAACTGACTCCCCCACAATCACAACTCCACACCTCCCCAACTCCACAAATCTCACCCTCTCACTACGGTACCGGTATTTCATCACAGCCCCGACCGAACAGTTAGTGCACCACCTACCTACCTACCTACCTAGTAATACCTCCTTTACCTCCCTCTTCCAGCCCCCATAGGTACCGGTAGGTACTACTAGGTAATCCCCCTCGGAAAAAGAAAACCACCTAAAAAAAAATCTGCAAAGGATCACCCAAATCAGTGAAATCAAACCAATAAAATCAATCGGGCCGGGCGGCGCTTTTTTTTTTTTTCTCCCCCTTTCCCTTACTTCCCCTTCTTATTTCTTCCTCTTATTTCCTCCCCTTATTCCCCTTTCTTATTTCTTCCTCTTATTTCTTCCTCTTATTTCCCCTTCTTATTTCTTCCTCTCCTTATTTCCTCTCCTATTTCCCCTTCTTATTTCCCCCCCTCGATCTATCCCTTCCCTCCAATCAATCAATCAATCATATGTACCTATGCACTCCTCACGCCGTCGCCTCTTGCGGCTCGGCCGCAATTAATCTTCTTTCCCCGTAAAGGATAACTCGACGTGAACCTTCCTCTATCTCTTGCCCCCCCTTTTTTTTATTTTTGAATTTTCAATTTTTTTTATTTTTTCTCCTTCTTTTTTTATTTTCATTTCAATTTTTTTTTACCGCGTAAAATAGTAGAAAAAGTTTAAATATTTCAGAAAAAAAAAAAGAAAAAAAAAAAGATAAGTTGGGATCGGGGATCGGGGATCGAGGATCGGGGATTGAGGAATTGGGGAATGAGGAGGAGGTAGACTAGGTAGACTAGGTCGACTAGGTGGTATTACTAATTAGAGTTTTTCCCGATCTGGAAAGATATGGATGGCGGAGAAGGTTTGCCTCTCTTGCCGCTTGTTCTGGTGTCTCTCTCTT